TCTGCCCCCCGCGGCAGCGCTGCTCCCCTCGGCCGCCGACCTTGTGTGCGGCTTGGGCGCATGGCCAGCTTGGTCGGGGCAGGTCCCGCGGGCCGCCCATGTGCTTGCTAGCAGAGGGCACCAGCGTTTGCGATGCAGGATGGAGTAGACATCCCCAATTGCTGTGGTTGCACTCCCTTGTGTTCCCAGGATTTATTGGCACTGCGACTGGCGAGGTGCCCGGGTCAGGTTGCAAAGTTCCAGATGTGATCCGGCGTGCAGGTACCAAAGAGAGATGCCTCTTCCTTGGCTTTTCCAAAATGTGCTGTGATAGCACATCCAGTACTCCAACAGCTGGTGCATGCTGTTGTTCAAAGGCTTGCTGTGGTTGCACTCCCTTGTGTTCCCAGGATTTATTGGCACTGCGACTGGCGAGGTGCCCGGGTCAGGTTGCAAAGTTCCAGATGTGATCCGGCGTGCAGGTACCAAAGAGAGATGCCTCTTCCTTGGCTTTTCCAAAATGTGCTGTGATAGCACATCCAGTACTCCAACAGCTGGTGCATGCTGTTGTTCAAAGGCTACTCGCTGGCTGCCCTCCAGACCCAGAGCCACATAGCTGTGACCCTGTAGGCCAGCACCCGGCATGCGTATAGGCTGCTTTCCGGACGTGCAATCTCCGCATGTCTGAGCCTACCGTCAAGGCCAGAAGTGAGACAGCTGTGAGAGCCAGAGCAGGGAAGCTCAAGAGTGTTCTGGGATCACAACTGTCCCCTGTGGTCCTCTTTAAGAGTGGAGGAGACAGTTGTGCTATCTGTCCATCTTACCCCATCTCTGAAGTTCTGCGGAATCACACAAAAGTGGCCACAACCTCAGTGTCACACTGCTTCCCGCAAAAGGACAAGCAGTAGGAAAAACACTATAAGACAAAGCTCTGCAAAATTTCAGTATTGCAAAAATGCCCAAATAGACTGCAGTGTGAGGGTGTGTTTGCTTTAAAACACAACTAGGCAGAGCAGGCTGACATATACTGTAGGTAACCAATCTGCCCAGGCAGAGCGAGGAAGGATTAGATGAGCTAATGATTCTTTCTTGGCTCCGCTTTTATTAGAAATGCCAGGAGAGCTCTAGCATCGACCCAGAGCAAACAGGACTTTAAAGTGCTATCAGAAATCACACTATAAACTGCAAAAGACTCAGTTTATCAACTTCTGAAGCACCCAAGTTGAGTTAGCCCTTTTGCTGAAACATGTTGATTTCCCATATTCTGCTGCTTGAAGCAATGATTTTATTTTGTCTGCTTTCACCTCCTGAATGGTCGTGGGCTGTGTTGGGAAGGCAGGTTCAATTGTTGCTTTAAAATCAATGACTAAGAGGAGACAAGACTAAGGTGTGTAGAATGATGGACAGAACAGAGTAGGAAAAGCAGGATTTCATCCGTTTCAGTGAAATGTGAACAAAGAGACATTCAGTAAAAACTGAAGGAGGGTTGGTGAAAGGCTGTATCTTCACCAGTGGGAAACTAGTAGAGGAAATACTAGTCTTAAGCTGTATCCAATTAGTTTATGGAATTCATTATTGAAAGATAACATCGGGACCAACAGCTTAGCAAAATCCAAGAAGCAGGAGCTTTTGTATGCTGTTGGGAACAAAAACTTCAGATATCGCTACCAGAGCTTGAAACACTCCAGGTCCCTCACAGTGCTGTTAGTAGTTGCAAAACACTGTTTTCCAGAGCTGCCTTGGAGTGCTTTGGAGCTGTGCAAAGGAGGGAGGGAGCACTGGGACTTCCTCTGGTCTGGTTCTGCAGCCCAGGGGTTGAAGGAGGACAGAGGAGGAGAAGCTCTTTGATATAGCTTTTGCCCTTGTAAATGTTTGTGCTTTGATGAAGGCCTCTGGGGATTCAGTTATGCTGAAGTATGTCCGAGAAATGCAGAGAACAGAGATTTCCAAGTCACAGTAGTTAAAAGTTTTAAAATAAACCAGAAGTTTAGTAGGGTTGTAACCTCCCGTGACTTGGGGCCCGGGCCAATCCCTAGCAGATGAGCACTGGAGAGTTTTCTCCACTGTAGATCTCCTTACTGCCTGGTTGTGTTTGCCCTTCGCAAGAGTACAGGAATAGCTGGAAAGGCACAGTGTGGCTCTGGCTCTGTCCCACCACTCCCTGTCCCTGATATGCCTCCCTGCCCACGCAGGACACTTACTCATGCAGTCCCCTCCGTACCAGCCAGCTCTGCACTCTGCACAGTAGATCCCCTTGATGTAGAAGTCGTCAAGCATGCCTCCCCAGGAGCCATTGCGGCAGGACTTGCAGTTCTCAAAAATGGTGCAGCCTGAAAGGAGAGCCACTGCATTAGAGGAAAGCCAAGGTGGATTGTCCTGCATGGAGGGGAGCAGCCACTTACTCTTTTCCACAAAAAATGCCAATGACTTTAGTGACTGCGGTGGTGCTGACGGTTTCCCCTCTGTGAACCATACCCAGCCTGTACCCCCAAACCCTAGGCAGCTCAGACTCTGAGATTTGGAACCAAACTCCCTGTCTTACTTGCCCAAACCTCTCAATCTCATTGCTCCAACTGTAAATGCCTCTCTCAGGAGACCAAATGTGGATGCAGGTGCTGCTCAGGCCCAGCCCAAGTGATTCTGATGTCTTCTAACCTGGTCCTGTCTCTTCCTGCTCTCACCTTTCACTTTGCCCTTTCTTCTTTGCTAGCCAGACTTCTAAGTCGTCTCCCTTCTTGCTTTGGGGATACAGAGCACCTACAAGACACTGCTGGTGTGAAGTCTGCTGCAGCATCATCCTTTGGCAGCTCCCAAGCCTGCCCAAGGCATCTTAAGGACAACACTGCTGATAGAAAGTGAGTTTTTTTCTGGCAGTGATGCTACCAGCTGCAGAGGCACCTCGCCAAGTGACTTGCTGCTGTGAGCAGAGGGGCAGAGGGAGTTCCTGAAGTGATGTGGGGCAATCCCATGCCCCAGCGCCTGCCCTCGCCACCCCCCTACCCAGCAGCTACCATTACGTGCTGACGCCTTGGCCAAAGATCCGGTGTGAATTCAGTGTGACCCTAAACATACCTGGATGGATTAAGCAGGAGTCACACTCATTCTCTTCGTTCCTGCAGCAGGGAATGGTGTAGCCCACTCTTTCTTTCCGTCCTGGGCAGATGCACTCGATTTGGTCGTATTCGCAGCACTCCCGACACATGATATTCCACTCAGCGCCAGGGCAGTTTTCATTGATCACTGTGTACTCTGCAAGTGGGGAACAGAGAGGGGGAGACATGGAAATAATCCATTATCTGCCAAGGACTGGCAGGATGTTTTATTCAGCAATTTGGCAGATCATGCGTGGCATGAGGCTGGCCGAGGTCTTCAGCCCAGGAAATGTCAAATTACGTGGTAACGCGTGGCAGAAATGTCAGCTTGGTTTGGATGTCTAAAGAACACATGGGCAGTTTTGCAGTGCCAGCCAGAGGAGGCAAACAGGCCAGAGGGAAAGAATATGTTCACTTCAGTCTTTCCTCTGCAAGGCCTTCCCACTTCTGTTGTGAGAAAAATAGTTTAAAAAAACCACAGAAGATGACATCACATGAGAAACTCTTCTTCAGATCACAGGACTGATTTATAGCCTCATATATGGTATAGATTATTTAAACGATAATTGCATGGTTTGGTTTTCTTTCCATTTGTGAATTTTCTACTCTTGAAGAGTAGGGTGTCCACCAGGAAAGGACAATTTTGGGGCTGGGTTTTAGCTGGTTTCACTCCCTATTTTGACTCAGAAGCACATGGTGTTACACTCGGCTTCATTGCCCAAAGGAAACAAAATTTTTCATTATTTTTAAAGGTTCATTTGGTCTGGCATTTCTAATATGGTAAGATTATTAATACCTTTTTATTATTTAGCATAACCTCATATGATGATATTTAAGCTATGCTGGGAGTGCCCTTTTAGGAAACAACTTCAGACTGTGCCTCCAGACCGCTACAGTAAGTGCAGATCCCATCTTTCTCCACCAGTGTGCTGTCTAAATTCTACAGAGTGAAATCTAATGAGTGCACAGTGCTGTCAGCATGTCTCTTAATCAGCTGACAGACCTGATGACTGTTTTCGTGGAGTTTGATGGTAAAAAGAGAGAGAGCAGACTAGAAAGATGAGACATAAAGGAAACATAATGATACTATCTCTTTCTTCTTCCCTGTCTCTTCCCCCTTTTTTTTTTCACTGTGGTTAGGTAACATCCTTTTTCCTGTTGTTTTAAATGCTGAGTAACAGGGCTGCCTTGTCATTGCAACAAGCCATACGTCTCTAAGGTGCAGCACTCCCATCCGTGTCTGTACCTGGCTCCCTTCTCACACTGCTGTTTTTTGTTTCATTGTACCTCATAACCTAATTACCATGTCTGCTGGAGCTCCCTACCACTGAGCCTTTCTGCTCTGTCTCACTTGATTTTCCACAGCCTCGTGAAGCCTGGTTCCTGGAAGCTTATCTTTTCCCCTAATGGTATTTACTGGCTCCATAAAAAAGGAACCACCAAGCTGCTTCTTCATTTTTTCCCCTTTTGCTGGGACATGAAATTCAGCCCTTCGTGCTCCTCAGAACTGAGCCTTTCCCTTGTGCTTGGTGTACCGACCAAGGAGAGTCCACCACCATTCTGAGTTTGGAAACCAGGCTGCTGTTTGTGCTGAAATCTTTCTATTCCCCCTCCTTACCCCCATAATCATTCCAAAAATAAAAAGAAAGCTGGTTCCGTAATTTTTTTATTCCAATAATAAATTCTTGCATCAAAATAACCTTAGTGTTTAGCAATGATATAGTCTTTTGCCTGGAGATCCTGACATGCTCTACAAAGTCCTTTTTCCAGATGGGAAACTGAAGCACAAGGGAGGTGAAGTGACTTTGCTCAAGGTCCCAGAGAAAAACAATAGCAGAGCCAGGAATTAAACTCATGCCTTGTAATTCCCAGAAGAGCAGTCAATCAACTTGGCCAAGTTGGGACTTCTTAACCTATGGCTATTATTCTCTTTTAATGAAGCCATTAATCTATGATTTCTATCTGATTCAGATTCCAGAGCAAATTGATTACATGTGTCTAATTATCTTATTAGAACTGACACTCAGTTTGATACATCTCACCATACATGACTGAAAATAGCTGTTTCTGTGGTGTATGGGAGTTGGGGTGTCACTCCTTGTTGAAGGAGGACTCCCCAAAGTCTGAGTAATAAATAACTACCCAACACTCTGAAGCTTTTGCAAAGCGTCCTTCAAATTCTCATGTTTCCCAACTCAATCTAGAAATCTAATTTCTCTCAAAATTGCTAAAGATTGTTAATAAAATGGCTGTATCCATTTGGGTTGTGGCTGTAAATTGCCCAAAAGAAATTACTATCTGTAAAATGGTCCAAACATTCACAGGCAATGTTGCACTGGGGTGACTAAGGCATGTCTCCATGCTTGCAGGAATTCAAAATCTGGTGAGATGAGGCTGTGAGCAACACAACGTAACTTCCAAGTTAGAACTTCTCTGAGAAGTGGACCTCCTCCAGAGGTCCCTTTCAGCCTAAATTATTCTATGCTTCCATAAAATATCACATGTATATTTGTATGTGTGTAGAGAATGTGTGCGTGTGCATACACATATTTTTTTTTATTTAGTGTTAAGATGGGAGCAGAAGATCCCTTAAAGAATTGTAAAAATAAATCTGCTGCCACCTAGAAATGCTTTTTGCTCACTTATTGCCCTTGTCTGAACAGAGTAAATGAAAATAGAACATCTTTTTTGATTTACTGACAATTTAATTCCCTTTCAGGTTCTCAGGTACTCCAGTTTGGGCAATGTATGTAGCCCTGACAAGGAAATTTGTAAATTGGAGATCTTTTTGAAGTGATCCTCGCTGGGGTTTTCTTCACAGAAATCATTAAATCTATTATTCTGAAGTTTTGTAGAAGCTTTTCTTTAAAGACATTTGTGTGACGACTTTATGCACCCCTTTAATAACGGTAGGTTCCCTTTTGTTTTGCATAAGTGTCTCCAGGCTACTGAACAAAAGGCAAGGGAAATCTTTCCCTCAGAAATTTAGGAGGGAGAGCACAGAGACGCTAGTGTCTGTAGTGAATGTTTGTGTTGCTGAGCTCAGCCTGGGCTCCAGAAGGAAGAGGCATAACCCCGCTCCCCCTTGTGTGTTTGGGGAATGGTAACCACTAGCGGCTCCCCACGCCCACACTTGGCCATTATTACCGCAAAACAGAAGAGAATAAGGTAGAGAAGCATGGGGAGACATTTATTGACTGAGTAAAATACTGGAAGCCAGTCCTTGGCCAGCTGTGGCAGAGATAATTGTGTGTGCTTTGTGGGCCTGACTTTGATAATCCTCCAAAGCAGGCAATCTGCCTTACATGCCGTGGCTGTGTCTCCCAGCATCAAACACAGTCTAGAAAGTGGCTTGACCTTGTTTTGGAAGAAGCTGCTTGACAACCCATGCAAAATATTTAGCTGAAAAGAACAAACAAGTCTCTGGACAGGCAAATAAACAGTGTATTAATTTATGGGATTTTAACGATGGGAGAAAAGCCCATTAAAGCCAGGCATAAACAGTACACATGGAAGCAGCTCAAGACCATGGAAACCAAGCAAGAAATGGCTGTGTTGGGAAGGCGTGTGAACCTCCAGGGAAGGTGCCAGAGGGAAGACCTGCTTGGCTTGGGAGCCTGGCAGAGCACAATGCAATCTTTGACCCAATGCTTTGAGTCCAGATGGAGGTACAAGTGAGGTGGGAGATGAGCATTGAGGCTTGAGCAGGGTAGCTGGTAATATTAACGCATTTCCGTGTTTGGATGGCAACACATTCATACTTTTCACTGACATCTCAACCTAGACGATTTTATGATTCTATGATCTGCGCCTAGGGAGACCACCTAGTCCCTATAGCACTTTTCAGACCCTAAAGGCTGTCAGCAATGGCTTTCGTAAGACAGCGCTGGGAGGGGATGTTCCCAGTCAATGTCTTCCCTGTTAGCAACGTCAGTCTGAGGCAATTCATCACAGTGATGCTGCCACCTCCCCTGCTCCCCGGTGCTGGGCTGGGGCTTTGGAGGAGCCAAGGGCTCCTCACTCTGGGGAGCCCTCCCCACTATCAGGTGGGCCCTGAGCTTCCTCGGTGAAAACCTATGTACAGGTGATGAGCCACAGCAAGGAGAAGGTGCAGCAGGACCTTGTGGAGGGGTGGGCTGGCTGATCCTGCTCTGAGATCTGAGCTGGTGCTGGGAGCCGAGCTGCTGAAAAGCAGATGAAGAGCATCTACAGAGGAGCTGGCGCCAAGTGAAATGCACAACTAATTTGCTGAGTAGTTTAATGCTTACTGACTTCCCCTGTGAGTAACAGGACCTCAGTTTTTCCATGGATCCTCAAGACTGCAAAGGCAAAACTTTCAGCTTTTGCTCTTGATTTTGACCCGGCTTAGTGTTTGCCTTTTTAAAACTAGTGCTTGCCTGCCTGCCTCTGTACCATGAACCCACAGCAGTGAAGGGAAGGAGTGGAAGCAAGTTACTCCTGGTGCTGCAAGGTAAATAGTTTTAATCTGCTGGACTATCAAGCTTCTGCTGTCACTCACTTCCTTTATGAAATGCAGCAAATCCAGCTCTGATTTAACTTGTTAGGCTCACCCACATCACTCACTTTCTCTGGCCCAGTATTCCCTTTTTTGCTTCTTATTTTTGCTTCACCTTGGCCAAGATGCACTTGGGCAACCTGGTGTGCAGCAGAGGAGCTTGAAAAGCTAGCGATGTAGTTGTCTTCTCCCTGACACAAGTGAGTCTGTCTTTCCTATCACCCTCATGGTCTGGGCACACATATGACTCAGCCATCTCTGTCCTTGCTACACCTCAAATACTATCCTGTTCCAAACTGCAGGATTTTGGTAAACCAGGTGATAAAAACCACACAATAAATTATTTTATTAGTACTTGGGAAGGGTCGTGATGGAAATATTATTTGAAATTGAGTGGAAATGCAACCTTCCAAAAGGGTAGTTTTTATTGCACCATTCTAAAAAGCCAGAAGTCCCCTTGGAAGTGAAGGCTCCATTAGCACTCGCCCTGAAGACTGGAGATATGTTATTTATTCTTATGCCAGTGAGTTCAAAGAGGATGCCCCAGTTATAAAAAGTAGCTGCAAGGATAAGACCATATTAAAGCACTGGTTCTATTCAACACAGACCTGCTGGAAAGGGTAGTGATGAATCCTGTGGGATATACAGTAAGCCCAGTCAAATCTCATTCAAGGGAGAAGCAGAGACCTATCAGGGATGAAAAAAAGTCCAATCATCAAAGCAAGCTATGTCTTAGAGCTCAGAGACAAAGGAAGAACTGCCAAAAGCCAAGCTGAATTTGACCTTGCAAAGGAAATTAAAATAATAGCAATAGGTCCTTCAGCCATATAAAGAAAAAAGAAATAAGGAAAGAGGAAGAGAGACTCCTGCGGGATGGGGCGTGGATGAAATGTAAGACTGTGGTGGAGAATGTAAGTGAGTTATTATCTTTCATCTTCAGGGAGGTTGTTTATGGGGAACCTGTGAGCGAGGGTTTGAGGGTGTGGAAACAAAGGCAGTGTGATCCGCATATTAGTGAGCTTCTAACCAACTGCAGTTTGCACCTTGGGATATTCAGGTAAAGCAACTTCAATTTTGATTTACCTTACTAGGTTCAGGCTTAAAGCTTTGGTGATTCTGGAACAGATTCACAAGCACATTGCTGCCTCAGGGGTCAGGCAGCTCATCATGGTAAAACTTCAGTTTCCTCACACTTGTCTTTTGCCATAGTGAATTTGTCAGTCATAGATACCTTGCTAGATAGAAAGGGGTTTTCTGTTCCAAATGTCTGAGAGCTGGGGAAATTACATGGCCAAGAACTAAGGTGAATTGAAGCACGCTCAAGTACACCAATTAACTCTTGTTTCTTCCACTTCTTTGGAAGAATGACTTTTTTAGGCTGCAGTCACTTTAAGCTGATACTTATATGCTGCTGCTGAGATGGGACGCTTTCCTCCCTTCTCTCCCTGACTTTCTGTTCCCACTCCCTATCTTTGTGCTGGCATTAGCTGCTATGTGGAGGGATCAGAGAACTGATCCAGCAGAAAACCAGTTTGCCATCTCCATCCATCCTTTGGGGGGAAAAAAGTTTACAACCTAAATGTCTTCTATAGTCCTCCAGAAGAGAGAGCACCTTAGGACCCTGCTGGAGATATTTATTTACCAGAACTCCTGAAAGATCAAAGAAAGTGCCTTATAAGGACATCCATATCTTGGTCTGAACTGATGGAACTTCCCATCCTACAAGTTCATTCTGTTATCCGGCAAAGATGGGTTCTCCTTCCGTGCCTCAATTTATCCATCAGCACATTGGTAAAACACTACTTAGGCTCAAAGAAGTATTATTTCGAATTGCTTTGAAAAATGCCATACAAATTAACAGTGCATTGTAAATAAGAGCAGATATGAACAGGTATATCTCTAAAATTAGAGTCCGCAGAGGATGACTTTTTCAAAGTGATTATTCAACCAGTTCATGTTCCACAGATGAGAACATGCCCCTTTTTATTTGATTGCATTTTAATTTTTCATCATGATGCTCCAAACTAGTTACTGCCTTCTGCAGAAGAAATGAGCATTTGAGTTTGAAGAAGCAATTTCTTAAGGCTCTTACTAGGGAAAATTTGGCCATGTAATAATTCTGAAATTAAGCTTTCTCATTTAAAGAAAAAATAGCTCCAACAGAGGTGAAACCCAGTAACAGCTAACATTTTCTTTAGGTCTGTCTCATTTTTATTACTGTTTAATCCCGTTCCTTTCTTACTCAGCTCTACTGTCATTGCACAGATGTGCAAGCTGGGCCCCACCCCATAGGTATCATGTGTATGGGCATTAACATTGACAACAAGAAGAGCTCTGAGCACACAGGAGATCTAGAATTTGTCACCTGGAAATGAGAAACATGTTGAGTGAAACTGGCTCCACTGTATTGAATAGTAACTCTCCATTTGATTTCAGTAAGGCCAAGAAGAATAGACCTCGGAAGGGAAGAGACATGTTCCCTTTGAGAGGCTTTTACTGAGGCTCTTGGAAAACGGTGTACCCAAAACCATTAATAATGAAGGAAAGTACAAGTCTTTATTCTTAACCTCTTTTTGCCTCAGATAACCTATTGTGCAAATGATGCCTGTTTTCCTAATAGGTGTGTTAAGAGGGTGAAAGGAATAACGCTGTCTCTAAAAACACTTGCTTCTCTTTAGAAATTATGTACCCATTATTCTTTTTAGCAGCTGGGATAATTAAAAGAGGAGCTAAAATACATCCCTGGTTTAGTTTTACTCAGTGTGCTTACTTTATGGGTCACTGACCTTTGCTGAATAATTAGACTGCTTCTCCTACAGAGTCAGTTAGCATCCTTTCCTGGCCATTAGTGTGTGCTTTTCTATTAAAAAAAAAATCCAAGCCAGTGGGCGACACAGGGGGAAATCTACTACACTAAGCTGAATCTGTCCACTTAAGAAGCGTGCGTTAACACGACTGTCTTTTTTTAAGTCCCAAATGCAGGATTGTGTTGAAAGCAGACTAAACTACTACAGAAAGGATATTCTGTTTAAGAAACGCATTGAAAACCTGTCTAGTGTTAAGTACAACTGTGCTCTGCTGGATGAGACCACTGTTTTCTTAAGCTCGACCTTTTTAACAATTCAGATCATGTTTCATGTAGAAAAAAAGGCTAATGCACATTCTCTTTTGATTCAGGAATTGGGGTCTGCCTAAAGTTTTCAAATAGGAGGGTCTTTATTCCAGGTTTCCTATTGTCATTCAGTGTTTAGTAGCTATAAATTCAGAAATAAATAGTCCATGTGTTGTTCCTGACAGGCCGTAGGTTTGCCTCATCATGTTCCTACAGTAGTGCCTTTTTACATTTGTAAGCTTCTATTCTTATCTAGGCTCTGACAAACAAATCATAAACTCCCAACACTCCAAGGAGAGAAGAATTGTTAGTTCAATAAAAAAATTATTTTTCAGGTCTCCATCGGGTTCTTAACAGGATTTCCCACGTGACTTGCAAAGCTTGTATCTCTCTCCACACTGCCTTGTTTTGCTTTGTCCATGATAAAAATCAAGTATCTTGGTGTAACTAAAAGGAAAGCCAAATAAAAATCGTGCTTCCTATTTGTGAGGTCTAGACTTTGGCCATCTAAGCATTATAATGGTGGGTTAGTGCAAAAACAGCATCAACACAAATAGCTCTAGGGTTTTCTGTTTCCAGTCTCAACCGAAAACAGGACTGTCCATTCGGTCCTTCTACATGTTAAAGCCCCAGTAATCCCACTTACCTCTCTGCCAACATTGCCTCAGTTGTGATGCTGTGGCGGTGTGCTCCCCCCTCGTCTCTGACCCCCCTCCTTTGACCTCTTTCCAGTGATAACCACCTGTGGCTGTGGTGATAAGATGCATCTGGTTTGTGTCTGGTCCTGAAGGATGCACCCACTGGATGTGGGGGGAGACAGATAACAACACAATAGCCAAGGGCTGTTGTGGAATGTGCCCACCTAAGCACAGCGGTCAGGATGCAAATATGACTATGAGCCAATCATCTTACCCCCATAAATAGTGAGCAGCCCAAGAGCCCTTTGAGCTCTCCTGCACGGCAGCGGGCTGCACGCCAGGATCTCCCCTTGAGCAGGGACGCCTCTCAAGGTTACTCCTCGAGGTTGAGAGATTCCTTACCACGACAGATTCTCGGCAGTTACCACTGAACTTTGTTAACTCACTGTTTTACACCAATAAACCACATTATTTTTGCCCCCCTCTCACTCCATCCGCGACAGATGCCCAACTGGTTATGTCATTCCCCCCATTTTCCTCTTTCAATACATTTGCATGCCCTGCAGCCCCTCCTCTTGCCTGCTCTACCCACTGCTACAGAGGGGACTGATGGGTATCTTCAGGGTAGTATGCTTGTTCCTATTGCAAACTTCCCATTCCCTTTCTTCCTACATTTCAGCAGCCCTTGTTCCCTGGTGGTAAGCTGTAACATGCAAAATAGAGCCATACTCCGCACCTCCCGAGTCAAAGCTCTGCTCACTTTCCCATTTTCTTGTAGAAATCCCTTATATATCCTCCTTTCCCTTTAGGAACAGGCCGATTGGGCCACAGGCCTGGAGATCTGCGCCAAGTGTTCATGCCTCCACCATATTTCAGATCCAGTTCCAGTTTAAACCTCGTTCTCCCCTCCACACATCTTCCCCTTGCCCTCAAAACACCATGCAGCTTCCTTTTACTGTATCTTTTTG